TCTGTCGGATTAATTTAATTAAAACAAAAAAAAAAAAGAAAGATGAAAAGGTACAAGAAACATAAACACATAAAAAAAGGTACAAAGTACAAACATTGCATGCGGGTCCGACTTTCCGACCCGTTTTCTTGGAACCTTCCGCCGCCGCCATTTTCACCGGAGACGACTGCTTTGCATAGTCACCAAAACAGAGCATCTTAGGATTACTGTTACTAATGTTCTTCTCATCGTCATCAGTTTTAGTAAAACCGAAGAACCCATTTGTCTGAAGACCCGAGATATCATCCCCGAATAGTAGCTCCGAGTAAGACCCGCCGGGAACTAGCGGGTCATCCGGCTCAAACCCGCCCGAATTACCCGCCATTGTTGACGAAACTCACTTAATGGAGTTTTGTTTTTATGGAAATTAAAATTGGAAGCTTCTAATTTTTTTTTTCTTTGAAGATGTTTACGAATGACGGAGGAAAAAGAAAAGATAGGGGCCTAAGCGTAATAATACAGTAGCTCTGTTAAAAGGCTGTGGGTATTGTGATGCATTTTTCAAGATTAATTGAAGGGACAACAGAAAGACAGGGGATGAGAGAGAGAGAGAGAGAGAGAGAGAGAGAGAGAGAGAGAGAGAGACCCGAATACCCAGAATTCGACCCGGTTGGAGATGAATGGGCCGTGCCGTGCGTGGCAGAAGGTGTGGCCCGGATCCAGTGAATGTGGCCCATTCGTCATGCATGCATGCCATGACTCACCCACTCACCTAATAAGACCCAATTTATTTCTATGTTCTTTTACATCTTTAATTTTCCTTTTCTTTGAAATTTTGTAATTAATAAGAAATATATTTATTATCGGAAATTGCTACGGTCCCGTTAAGAAATTATTCCGTCAGGATTTGTAACCGTTAGATCAACTATCTCCGACGATTACATGATGATCTAACACAGTTACAAACTCTGAGGGAAAGATTGCGTAAGGGGACCGTAGTATTTCGTTTTTATTTATCTTTTGACTGTAATTTCAAAATGAATAGAGTTCAAATAAAAATTCTAGTTTTAAAATGTAATAAATTAAATAACAAAGTCCGTAAAAATTGACATTTTCCAATTTTCAGTAGACAAATCTATATATATATATATAGGAAATGGATCCAATGAGTACACATATTTAAAGTGTGTACGTGAGACCCGATCTCAGCCGTTTATTTCTCGCCAAATCTGACGGTCAGTAGCAGCCTGTTAAATATATTTGTTGGTTCGCGGTTTTAGGTTGTCCCGTCATTTCGAAACTTTCCGTCTTCTCCTAGTTCTGGATGCTATCTGCTCTCTCTCATCATTGCAATTTTTCGTTTCCCTATCTCAGCTAATTTTCAGACGCTTCCTCTCATTATCGTCATTTTTC